CCTGCAGAACAGAAAAATAAATTAGTAGCCTGAGACAAGGGTGTTGACTTACCGAAAGAAAAGAGTCTTTCCTGATAAACGACCAGGGCAGCAGAGGGTCTACCCGTATTCCAGTTATCGAGACGCGTCCACTGTCCCAATGGTCGCTGCTTGTCCGGCAGGGTGAATATATTGACTGTGCTCAAATTTGTCTGCCTATTGCTGCCTCCAGCAATGAAAATGCTGTCCCTGAATGCAACAGCCGTGTGGTCTTTTCGTGGTTCTAGCATGGCAGCAGTATCCTTCCAAAAGACGTCCGACGGTTTTGTTCGCCCTTTCCAGTCTGCTGGCACCTGAAGATGGCAGGTCTCCACTGAGGATAAGTCACAATAGGAGTTGTTTTGAACTCCATAGCCGCCTATCACATACACACGCCCGTCTGGCAGTGCAACCACGGCTGCGGATTTCCTCGCTTTCTTCAAATTTGGCAAGCTATACCATCTGTAGGAAAAAACGAAAAACGTTAGTGAGACGGGCGACATAAATAGCCAAATACGAAGATGTTGTGCTTATTTAAATTCAGTCAGTATGTTCAATAAAATGCACTTATGGTCATCCGAGCAAGTCATCGTGGAGGGACCCCAATAATTGATCAAAATCAGTGCGGCCATTGCGGCACTACCGACCTCTGTGAGATCTTAATCTGTGCGTGTGTACCTGTGTCTACAAAGTCAACTGAATTGCCGTCTGAAAGACGGCTTGCATGTACAAAGCCTTTCGATCCTCACCACCGACATCCAAGCTATCACACCATGCCCACATTGCCAACGCACCTTCTGCAGGCAAATCAGCCCGGTTGACCAGTTTCGGACGCCATGCAACAACCCTCCAACTAAAATAACCCCCACCCCCTGCGTACTTACAAGACCGCAACAGCGACCGCCCCCATCGTCTATGTTCAACCTATCAATGCCGGGGCATCCTAATCCACCGATAGAATGCTTCTCTTCGCAATTTCCGCGCTAATCACATCAGCAACCGACAACACTTTCCATAATTCAACCATCCATACGACGCACCATCTGCAATGGCGACTCGAGTCTAACCAGTGCACGTTGTGACCAACGTCACGCATCGGCCTGGTTGGTCCCTTGCGAAACCATCGTACAGAGACTGAAGAATCAATGCCTTAGACCCCTACATATGACTATCGCATCCATGTGAACTGTTCATGCACACTGACACCCCGCATGGGCTCTGATAATCCTGGTGTAAACGTCAAGGAGGCCAGATCGTGCTATAGGCCGCGCAGACGGTTTCGTTGGCCCTGTTATTTACTGCGCCCATCTCACATAAACAGGGTGTTGCGCACGGATTGAAAAAGACACAGCCAGTCCACACCAGGCCCGGGTTCCAGCCCGCTGGGAATACGCCAGCGACAAAAACTCCAGCAGAGACAGCGACTTCGGGTGCTTAAGACGATTTTCGCCCTTGTTCTACCTTCCGAATGCCACAGAGGGCGTTATTAGACGGCGAGACCAGAGCTATCGCCGCTCCAGTATATACGACTGCTATGTAATTCATTCTTCAACTACGATACCTCCCATACTCACTTGTCTTCTTGTGGAGAATAAATTACGCAGGAATCGAGTGCGCTGTTGCCGCCATCTGTGCTGCCTCCACAGACACATATTACGATTTGCCTGAAAACTGTGACTGCCACGGCCGCATGGCACCCCCGCCAACCGGAGATCGGCGCACATTCACTCCATCGGCGATCTCTCATATTAAATTTATCCACGTTTGTATAGCTGCCGTCCTGCTTGTATCCGCCAATTGCAAAGATGCAATCTGTCAAACAAGTGGTATAGGAAAAGAGATGGATAGAGAGGGTTAAATTTGAAAATAGGCATCTCAAGAAATATAATTTGATAAAAAAAGATTGCTTGGGAACCGCGAACGAACTGTATGGTAAATTTTCGACGCTGTCACACCAGGTTGCCGTCGTACGTGAGGGAAATGTGTAAAGAACAGTGCGCATTTTTTGCACATGCCAAAAAATCGATAATGATTTGTCATGATTGGTCAATAGTAGGCTTTGGTGGTTTGCGTTTTTTCCAGGCTTTTTGAGATTGATGGAAATTAAATCCAAGTCAGCGTGCCTATTGATGCATGATTCGTTAGAGTTAATGGCCTTTAAAAATGTGCGGCCTTTCCTATATAGGCAGGAACTCACTATGCGGGTTTGGTCCCATGCAAATGTGTGCCCAGTTTCAAACGAATGCATGGCGACTTCGGACAGGTGGTTGCGCCTCTTTACCGTTAATTGATGTTCATGTATACATGTAGAGGCGGACCTTCATGTTTGTCCACAATAAATTATACCACAGTCGGTGCAAAGATTTTTGTGGACGACCTCTCTCATGTCCAAATAGCCAACCCTTTCCTTAAGCTGATTTCAAAGTGTGTTAGATGGCTTCTGCGCCACTTGGTACTTCCCCTGGCTTCTTTAAACGAGTTCAGAAACGTTTTTAATATGTGGAAGTGTTCGAAAAGTTCTTGGATTGGGCGCTGGGTCGGAACAAACTAGTTCTTCTTCTTTTTGGTTTAACTCTTGTCGTCTCATGCATCGACGCACGAACTCTCTGAGGTAGCCGTTTTTTCAAAACAATTTGAATAGGTAATTGAGTTCGGCTTGGTAGAGTTTAAGGTTAGAATAATGCGTATTTGCTCGATTCACTAGGTTGCTAACAGTACTCCGTTTGTGAGCAATAGGGTAATTGGTCTTGTAATGAAGGATACCATCATCATAGGCCTTTTTGTAGTAAACCGATGTGTGAAACTTTCCGTCAGTATTACGTTATACTAGGCCTCCAAGGAATAGGAGTTTATTGTTAACTTCTTTTTCAAGCCTTACATAAATGTAAGGCGTTGAGCGCGGTAGTAGGCCCTATACTGGGCGTATTACTGATGGTAAAAACGCTGACAAAAACACTGCATCGGTTTAACCTTTTTTCTGCCACGTAATTGCGGGTGCTTCTCATGAATAACTTAAGACTGACTGGGGTGCAGGGGTTGACGAAAACCCAGCGCCATTTTCCACTGCGGAGTACACTTCGTTGTAAAGGTGGCCAAATGCTGAGATATTACCGCCTAATTACATAGTGTCTGCGCCCCTACAAAAAACACTACAAGAGTGCAAAAACAGAAATCTTGAAGCGTAAGTATTACAACAGATTTGCGGTAACAAATGTGTCAATAGCGATATCCATCGGGCCAATCAGATATTGTCCTGGCATAAGTAGCGACACCATTGGCTTGCGGCTCAGCAGCTGGCTGCAACATAAAGTTTAAATTATTGATTGATTGATTGATTGCCAGTCTACTTTTGACGCGTGTAGGCCAATCGATAGTCTGCACGCTAACTGCTTGCAAGATGGCTCTTCCTAACACTACCCCTTGAGAGGAATGGTAAGATTTGAGCTGTGGATTCACTTGCAGCGGAACAGTTCGCGTTCTTTTTCGGGCTGATCGTCTAAACGCTTTGGGAGGTCGGCTTGCTACTGGAACTGCAGCTTCTTGCTTTGGCTTTGGCAGACTGAATGTGTCCAGCAGTAGTTCCAGTGAAAAGGTTGGGTTTGCATTTGACACATCAGCACATTCCATGTGTTTCAGTTGATTGACTTGGCGCACCCAAATGTCGGAGCGGACCCTAATCACTTGGATGACGTCACCAGGTTTTCCATGAGGACGTCCAAGCGTCCACTTCTCCCGGTTATTTCTGTAGTCCTTTGCCAGCACTATCTGTGCCGGATGGAACAATGCTTGTTTTGCACTGTACGTCGGTCGAATTGCTTTTCCATTGACGTCAGATGGGCTGCTTCATAAAAAACACCGACATTTGACAGCAGACAAATAAATTCAAATGGCGTGTGGGCCTGTCTCTGCATTAAAACTTTTGCAGAGGATATACGATTTGGTGTGTTAGGGTTCCGGGTGGCTCGGTAGTTAAGCAGGAATAGTTCGATAAATTCTTCCGTCGAATCCTGCCCTTTTGACTTCTGGAGAGCCAGCTTGAAGGTCTCGACGAATCGCTCAACCTGTCCGTTGGACTGCAGATGATATGGCGTCGAATGAAAGTGGTTAATGCCCGAATGCTTACAAAATTGAGCGAAAGTGACCGATGTGAATTGCTCCCCGTTATCGCTCACCAGGGTTTCGGGACAACCGAAATTGCTGAACAATTGCCGAAGAATGTTTGTTGTCGCTCTGGCTGTCGTACGTTCCGTGAGGATGACCTCCAGCCATTTACTGAATGCGGCAACGGCGATAAGGAATTTCTGGCCACTGAGCGGTCCAGCATAATCGACGTGGACCCTGAACCATCTGGCTTGTGGAACGGGTCCTTCACGGTCTTCACTGACGCCTTTAATACGAAAGCGCATTTGGTGCATGCGTGGGTTAGCTGTTATAGTTGTTGGTCCATATGAGACTAGTGCACACAAATTGGAGAGAGAGCCTCCCTGCGGTTGATGCCGGGATGTCTGTTGTAAACCTGTCTCAAGACTCTGGCTTTTAACTTTTTTGGATACGATCATGGAACATGATACAGCCATTGATGGTGGAACTGCTGCAATTCTCCAGAAATTGTAGCGGCCCACTGACTGTCTCAGCATTGGATCCTGTTGGGTTGCGTTTTGGATTTCCTCAAATGTGACGGGGAGTGTACGAATGGAATTCATAAATAGACTGGCGACCTCAACTCAAAGCAGGTGTGCATGGTGAATTTCTCCTCAGATCCTAACATGTGAGTTGATTAAGCGCGAGAGTGTGTCTGCCTGACCAATGGCTGTCGTAGACTGGTACCAGATGTCGAAGTCGATCGAGTAAGATAAGCGTATTTAAACGCGAGGGTGAGACCTATACTGATTATGCAGTTGACAGTAAAAGGCCCTGAAATGGGCTGCGGTGTAACATTTTTTTGTAATTTTCGGTTGCTAGAAGGATGCTTAGAGAATTCCACCGTGTCCCAATGAGCATGCGCTACGGACAAGAGGAAAAACGTTTGGCCCCTTAAGCAGTCATCAAATTATTGCCATGATTTGGCCACAACCTTCAACCTGGCTCACATAATCCAGCTTCAGGAACACCAACTGTTCAAACCCTACCGTTAATACTTAGCTCCATCTCTATCTTTCACTATTCTTCCTTCGTTCGATTTATTTGATCAACGAAGTACGGTCAAGGCTGCAGCAACGCTGACTGCCCGCACCCTTTCCTTTCTCGCTCAATGTCTGGCGCGACGTACTAACACCTGATGTCGCGGTCTGACTAATTACCATCAAGTCTGACCGAAACTTTCGGCGGCCGCTAGACCACACTCCGGATTCCACTCTGAGCGGCGTTGGACGCAGACAAGGTCGTTGGCCTCTTTGACGATGCCACGCTCTCACACGGCCCTCGTAGTCGAACGCAATGCTAGACCAAATTGCAATCTGTTTTGGGAATAATGAGAAATGCAGTAGAAAACTACATGAATAGAGAAGTATATATACAAATTCAAGCATCGGTCAAGTGAGATAAGTGCATTTAAACGCGACAACAGGTCCCATACTGAGTACGACAATACCGTTCTGGTATCCCCCAATTTTAAAGATGCAATCTGTGTCAGTGTAATGAAAAGCAGAGTGAGACAGGAGGTAAATACATGAGTAAACACCTTAATGCAATGTATCAATCCGGGGATTAAGTGTATTTAAACGCGATAGCAGGCCCTATATTGCGTGTTATAGTAATAGTGAAAAGCCATAACGAGTGTGCATTATTTAACCGGTTTCCTGGAAATTTCTTTTGTTAAATTGGAAGACGTCAGGGTAGGTTATTTGCCCGACGCAACGTCAGCCTAAGCGTAGCCACGGTTGTCGTTTTCTGCTGTCTCCTGTTAATAAGCACAAAAATGATGCTTAGCAAATCCGACCAGGGCCTCATCGACAAGTTCTTCCCGTTAAACAGTCATCAAACTGTTGCCATGGTTTGGTCGCTCACATTCAAAATAAATTGAAACTGTAATGAGGCTGCCAAAAATTTGATTAACTACGACTTACCTTCAATGATTACAAAGGCCGCGTCCAATCCACCCGTTACGTCGGTTAGCTTGAGCGAGATGTTTGTGTTAGGATCATAGCGGGTCAGAAAATATTGCCCTCCAACTGCTGACGTAACAAGCATACAAAGCTCCTCCGATGGATTTCGGCGGTGCTCATTTAGTGGGCACTCACTTACCGCTGAACCACTCAATTGCAGTCTGGGCCTCTCATTAAACGGGCATCGTCCAATAACCCTCGTCAATGGAATGTCAATCCACTTAGTTATTTGACTTAGAAGTCGTCTTGAACAGATAAAAAAGTTTAAAAAATATCAGAAAACTTACACACATTCCATATTTTTATTCAACAAGCTACCAGCGTCATCCTGCAGCCGGTATCGTAAGTTGACATCAACTTGATACCAACGTACTTCCCTCATCAACGCCTCTGCGTGTACTAATCGTGTTTCATCAACCTCGCCGAGTGGAGTTAGCCATCGTCCAATTGCGTTGCAGACGGTCTCCTCGCTTGCCACTTGAAGATCGTCCGAGCGTAACAGGAAGAGGACTGCCTCAGGTGGCAACTGGGTGAAGACATAACTGGCAACTGTGACCTCAAACGTCGCTTTTATGTATTGTAGGCATGCGTTACTTAACATGTCACTCTTCAGCAACTGTGCGAGTTCCCAGGAGTTTGATATGTTTTCAGAATCCAGCCTGCAAATGATCGGTTATGCAAAAAACACTTACCTGGCGGCCATATATCTCACTACCCACTCTTCTATTTGGGGCATTACAAATTGCTTCGACAGCATAATCAGCCCCGCCGCATTGGCTTCCTGGATCTCAAGCTGCCCTGTGTAGATGTAATTTATGAAGGGTGAGGCGACTCTAGAAAGCAGTCGTTATATAAGATGAGCTAGTACTCTGAAGAGATTGTTGGCCACTGAAGCACGAGAGTCTGGCCATTCGTAGGGATTTCACACAGAGCGTCACACAGTGAGGGCATCCGTGAAGCAAAAACAATTCTGTGTGCCTGCACTCTGATGTTGTTTTGTAACTTAAAATGACAAGATCGTTGGGGATCCGTGTAATAAACCTACCTCTATAGTCATGTCCGTCAGCTTGCCGGCTGCGCGAAGGATGTTTAATTGGGGAAGGCACCGTATAAGCGCCGGTTCATCTTCAAACGTTTGAGTCCGCTGGTGGGCCATTTGTACGCAAAGCAAGAGGTCTAGTATGGAGACAAAATGTAGTCGGTATTTTTCTGGGAGAAAATGAACTACCCACACACGGCTAGTTTTCTAGAAACTTTATTCCCTATCCGTAATTACCATAAATCCTTCGATTTGAGGTATGCGGCAAAAAGAACTAAACTGTAACAGCAGGTGCACGGGTTTACTCGCTCGGAGAAAGGATGAGTTATATTCTTAAATCCACATAAACTGATAGTTTGTCAAACTGCCCAACAGAAAGCACTCTCATCGGCAATATGTTTCGACTCAAATGATGGCCCTATACGCCTAGTTGACTCAGATGCCCATTTAAATCTTGATTCATTCTTGTCAATGTCAAGCATATGTGTCGAAAGTGCAGCCATTTCCGTAAAGTCAGCTAGTCCTAGCGCTCATAGTAATTCGCAGGGACTTACTTCTTCTAACAGATCTTGACAGGTACTGTAGAATATTTCGCGGTGCGAACAGTTTGTTTGATTTGCCCGGGAGATAACTTTGGCTTTATAAATTCAAGGCACGGATATTTTCATTGAACATCCGGTTGCATCAATCTGTTCAATTAAGGATCTGGCATTCATTGCCAGAAACGAAGACTGGTCAAGCCGTCTGGATCTGCTGTCACTGGCGTGCACATTTACTCTACCTTAAAGTAGAGTTAATTAATTCGAGGCACGGTCCAATTGGACTCGAGTCGAACCGCATGCAGCATTTGGGCTCTTGGCCCTACTTGTGTGTTGTTTAAACTTATCAATAACCAAT